GAAGCTAAATTTCTCTCTTTCTCCCTGCCTTTCTCCTTCTCTCTGCATCTCTCTGCTTTCAAGCACGCCTCAGTGACTGTGCAGCTCCACCCCACCTCACCCTGTGCAAACGCTCTTCCTCTCGCTTCTCCCTTGCATCCCTCTGGATCTTTGAGATGAGTAGTTATCTTGGCAGATTCACACATAATATATTTCAAACAATATATTTGGGCTTTAAACTCAGAGATCAGTTGCCTGGTGTCTACCTTGGTACTATGTTGATTTTATTCATCTTTGGCATCCCTGCCTGCTGCTTTCTTACCCTACGTGCCTGAAGCAGTCGCCTTAACATGCGTATCTTTTATAAAGCACTGTGCAGCCACATTCTCTGCAATGGCCTTCTTATTTTCTTGGAGGGAATTAGCAGGCTTGAGGGGCAGGAAGAAAGGGGGTTATGGGGTTGGCTTTCCATGTCTCAGGCTTCAGGCAACCATCTCACACATCCCCTCAGCCACGAGGATTCCTAACTTCCATGTGTGTGCATGTGTGGGGGTTGTGACACTGCCCTTCAGCTGTATTGTTCATCTTGTAGCCTTTATTAATTCACTGAAATCCCCAAGAACTGTGTTGGGGTTTTGTAGTAGTCTGATGAACATGAGGCTTAGCTGCTTGTTGTTTTATTCACCTAATCTACCCACAATTACCAAAAAGCCATGTTAAAAAATTTTGTGCAATAAATATTGAGCATGTAGGACCTGTGGGTATATGCCAGCTTGAGATAGTTCATATTAAAAATGTATAGAAACATATACTTACAGATAAAAGGCCTTTGCATATGACTCCACATCCATTTTGTTGAAGTTTTAAAAAGATTGTGGTTTTTAAAATGCATTTGGATGTCTTATTCTACCTGAAGAAAAAACGTTTGCTTTTTACATGATAAACAGCAGTGGAAATGTCCACAGGACAATGGAAAAGCCCAAAGGAAGTAAAGATCTGCAGTTTGCTGGGAACTACCTGATGTGAGCTACTTTTCTTTGTTCTGTGGGCATGATATTTTTTGCTTGTTACCTGGAGCTGCAGAGTCCCAGATCTTGGACTTTGTGCATTCTGGTCCAGACTCCCAAGGTCAGGAAGAGGATCTTGTCCGGCTGTCCTCCTGTCACTGCCAGCTCTCTGCTGAAGGCAGGATAAAATGCAAATATTTTCACTCTTAATGTTTAGCTGTGCCACTGACTCTGCCTCCCTGTACAGTACTCTCTGCTCACCTGTGGAGTCCCCTGACTTTCCTCTGGCACCAAGAAAAGCGTGAAACACTGATTTTTTTTCAGTCTGAGACTCAGCTCTCCCAGCCACCAGGGTAGCCATGGGACCTCACTGCACAGAGCTTGAGAAAGGAAAGCTGCCTGTGTTCAGCCTCCTGTTTGCTCACAGAGAAGCACACACAAGGCAGGAACACAGTAAATTGTTCAAAGTGCTGACTTTGCAAAGGAGAGGGAAATTATTTTACCAATTAAATATTCACAATGCACTTGTATATGACAGTAGTAGTTTATAAATACATGGATGTCTTGCTGTCTGGAGGCTCTGTGGAGGGAGCCATTCTCTTCCTTGTGAATGTGATGATCCACATGCACACAGAGATCAGCATGTTTGCAGCATGGTCTGCAGAAAAATTTCCTTTAAAAGATAAAAAAAAATTACTTTAAAGTTAAAAGTAATGAAGTACAACAACACATTTTGTTTTAATCTTTAAAACCAAAACAACCAGGTCATTAACAGTGCTGTAGGTTTATTTTGTAAAGCTGTAAAGCTGTTTATTTTGTAAAGCTGTTTTACCCAGAATACTTGCACTCTCAGGACAACTGAGGCAGATGTGATTGACCTGGCATAGTAAAAAGTCTTCTCTCTTTGTAGTGTATGTGTAGCTTTTAAATATTTTTCCTTAGCATGTGAGACTGCCTTTTTGAATTAATTCCTTTTGTATCTCACACAGCTGCCTAACTCCTTGCAGGCACACACACTCCCAGCACTCCCCCAGACATCTGTTCTGATTCTCAGTGCCAGGTGCCAGAGTTTAAGCTTGTTGGGAGGAGGGACAGTGACAAAATCCTTCATAAAATCAAATAGCTGTGGTTTTTTAACAATATTTGTGGTGGAATTTATTTTCTGATCTTTGGGTTTTTGAAAAGCAGCCAGAAATTGTTAGCCTTTACTACTGATTTTTTTCAGGTTTTATCTGGAAAAGGTCTGGCTTGGGTGGATATTGGTTTGTTGTTGGGGTAAAGATTTTCCTCCTTTTTTTTTTTTCCAAAGGGATGCTCTAGCATCCCAGTAGTAAGAGGCAATGGCAACTGTGAACCTGTTTCTAGTCTGGAATTATTTTTCCCACATGGGAATACATCTCATTAGAAACACAACTGTACCTTCATCACTGAATTTTGATCCACAGAGGTCTTACATACCTTCCTTCTACTTGAAACACAGCTGTTGTTGAAATCTTCCAAGCTTGCCCTAAAGCTGCCATCAGTTTCTAGAGGTCTCAGAGGGCCAGTGTTGCTTTCATACAGTCCAGAATGACAAGGTCTAGGCTGCTCTTTATGTACCAAAGTGCTCCTGTTTGGCATTTTGGGTTTGGTTGGGTTATCTTTGACAGACCAAAAAATGCTGGGCTGTCAGAGCCAGGACATTTCCCTCATCAAGGAGCAGGTGAGCAGCATGAGACCATTCCCTTTCTCAGCCTGGGAACAACTGCAGTCATCTCCTCTGCTCCATGCTCTGAACTTCTCAAAAAGGCCTGTCATGGTCATGCAGTTGCAGGTTTTCCCCTGACTCCTGGTCTAATCTTAAACAAGTAGAGTACAGCTGATACCCTTCTCTGCCATTCCCTGAGATCTGCCTTGGAACATTTTCCTGTCATGTTCCTACACTCATGGTGCATCAGAGACATGGCCAGGCTGCTTCTGTTTTCTGCCTTCTCACCCAGGCACCTGGCTTCTTGTCTCCCTTTCTCCAGTGAGATAGGGAATATGTAGTGTAATAATAAGCCTAGAAATGTGAAATAAATGGATTTATATCAGCAGCTATGGTCTGGGTGGTGGAGGACGTGGTACTAAATACCCTGAGTCCATGCTGGGTTAGGGCAAATCAGGAAGGTGGAATGAGGAGTTTAAGCTGCTCTTTCTCACTCTTTCTTTTCATCTCTCCTTAGGCATGTCTGCCACTTATTTTTGCAGTCACTGAAGGCACAGGAACTCTCTGTGGCCCTACTATTCCTGTAGAGGCTTGAGAGAAAACTCTTCCAGTTTATTTCCCAGGGGCAAAAACATCAGGAGTGGCTTGGCCACTCACAGACCCCAGCTGAAATGAGAAGTTTCAGCTTCAGAGAAATGACTTGGTGTGATAGTCTTCAGATAACACACAAAGGGCAAAATGTGTAACAAGAGGAAATATCAGTGAGCAAATTTAAGCCACATAGAGTGAAGAATGTTTTTCCATACTAATATTAAATGTGTGACACCCCCACTTTTGGAGACAGATATATTGATTCAAGAAGGCGCTAAACAAATTCATGGATCTGTCCACCGATGGCTATGGGAAATGCAGGTCTGGAGGCAGTCTCCCAGGGTGCCATGAATCACTGATTGCTGGCAGCTCAGCAAGTCCATCAGCAATCACTCAACACTTTTCTTGGGCTCTTTCTTTAAGAATTGCTGTTGATGTCTCTCACACATAACATGTTCAGCCAATATGGGCCTCACCTTGATCTAGTAAAGCACTTAGTGGCTCTTAGGGTAGAGCTTAATCAAATGGTGAAACAGCCTCACAATACTTCCTCCAGAGTTTTTAGGAGGATGATCCCATAGGCCCTTCCAACTGTTTAGTCCCGTGCCTGAGCAATCTCAACGAGGGGAGAGCAGCCTGCCACTCCAAAACACAAAATGAGTGTCCCTAGGAGTGCTCAATAGCCAGTGCCCTATTTATATATAGTGCAAGGTAAATATTTGGGAAGCCTGAAGATGCAAAGCTAATAGGGTTGTTACAGAGGATGGGAAACAGAAAAGGGATGGTTACTGAGAGGCGTAATATCTAAGGGTTTTATGCTCTATAAAATAAGCCTGAAAAGGACAAAACTAAATAAGGAGTCACTAAGCCTTTTCTACTACAGAATTTGTCTGCCCTTGGTAATATTCCTTCCTGCCCGCATTTTTGTTTGTGCTGATAAATGTCCTTGCATTAATAAACTCATAATGCAGCTTGTTTATCCCTTCAAAGCCAGCCCTTGCAGCTTTCATTAGCATTTTAGGATATTTATGGCTTTGTAAATGACTGGAAATCTGCAATTTGTCATTAGGAATTAAGAAAAATCTTCCTTCCACTTAGGGCTGAAGCTCAGCTTTGGCCTTTGAGGGACTGAGCCACCTCTGGGCCTCATAGACAAAAACAAAGTCAGACAGTGCCCAGATTTACAACAGAAAGTGGCTCTTAGTTATTCAGATGTCTTTGATAATGTGTCATCCGCTGTTGCTGGCAGGGATCAGTGTTTAGGCTCAGAATTAATTTCTCTCTAGCTGGAGAGAAAACAAAAATATCTCTTCTGGAAGAGCAAAAAGAGAAAGATGCAGTTACAAAGAGAGAAATAAAAACAGCACCAGGCACATGGAAAAAAATGCATGTGTAGATATATGTATGTAGCATATACACACTGCAGAGGTTAACAAAGTGCTCTTCAGAGGATGTTGTACTTCACTCTGCTGTGCTCTGTACTTTCAACTTTGAAATACAGGAAGTTAAGAAAATTTTAAAGGTTTCAAAAGGGAGTTTATCTTGTAATTGGTAAAGGGCTAAAGAGTTGGATGGGGAGGGATAATAATCAAAGGAGCCTTTTCAGCACTAAACTGTAGTCCAGAAAATCAAAGGAAGGAATGTTAATTGGTTTGTACAACATGATATTCTCAGCTCAGAGTAGCTTCAGCCACTCAATAGTACTTTTTCTTTTTTTTCTTTCTCTCTCTCTGTAGGTTGATTGAGTGAATAGAAGAAAAAAAAAGAAAAAAACGAAGCTACCTTCAAGTATTGAAGATACAAGGCCAGGATGAACACGAAGGACGGAAAAGTGTCTGAAGGAGGTCTCAATGTCACTCTTACCATACGCCTTCTCATGCATGGCAAGGTGAAGCATTTCCTGTTGCCTGTGTGTTGAGTGTGTGTGCAGCTACCAGCAGAGCCTGGCACTAACATTGACAGAGGGTCTGCTCCTCCTCCACCTTGAGTCAAAAGCACCATTGCCACAGCCAAAAAATCACCCCCTGCCTTTCAGGGAATCCTGCTGAAGTTCACGCTGCAGCCCAAGCTCATTGAAACAAACCCTGCCTGTAACGAACCCATTTTAAGCGAATCTGGCGGCAAAAAAAGAGGAGTTCTTCCATTGATACTGAGCCAAATTGGGCAGACCCTTGCAGGAGGCTGACCTGCATACAGCTTGCCTTTCTCAGCATTTGCTGGGTTTTGCAGGGGTTTTTTAGGATACCAGAACATTGACTCATGTGAAATAATTGCCACAGAGTTGGTGTCTATTTCTATTGAATGCAAATGGGGTCCAGTTCTTCATTATTCTGGTGTAACATCTCATCAGAGTGAGCCCCCTGATATTCCAGGGGTTTGTCCAGGTCCTGGCGGGTTTGGGTTGGAAGACTGGTTCTCATTTCCTTTCTGTCCAGTGCAGCACTCAAAGCATGCAGATAAGTGGGAAATCGGTGCCTTAGACAAAGTGCCAATTCAGTATTGTCAGATTTAACAGTCTGGTCACTGCTTATTTCACATCAACAGATCATAAATTGGGCTTTTAATTAAAAAACACATTTCATAGGTTTGTTTGTATTATTTGCATCAGGCAACTCCAGGCATTTTTAGGCTTAATGAATGAATGTTATAGAAAAGAGGTGGTTTAGTTTCATCCTTAACTGGGAACAGTGAATATATAATGCATGTTATTCTGGAGATTGAATTTATATATATAAATCTAAAAAAAAAATTTACTCCTAGAGTTTAATTTTGTAACTAAAATACTTATACATTTTAAAATAGTGGGTGTTTTCAACCTATGGTATGAACACACGTATGATAAACCCATAGCACAAATAGGCCCTAAGGTATCTCCCATTCTATTTTACTTATGGAGAAGTGTGAGGGGGTACAGCCTAAGTTTGCAAATTAAAATCCTCAGAAATTAGGTTATGTCAGATCAAATTATGTTTTTTCTCAGAAATGATCTAACCATTTTGATTTTTTCCCCCTGAAATATTCAGCTTCAGGCAGGCATCTGGTGTGTAAATCTGCATCTTAAATAGGGATCTGTCAAACAAATTTAATAACACTCTCTCTTACAAAACCCACCTAAAATCTGTACACGTGTCTGTGCTCAAAATTAGGTCTTCAGGGTTGATTCTACTGGTTTCTGGTCCCAGTCCATGAAAGCATTTGAACACATACTTATCCCAGTGGGTATAAGCAGCCCTACTGGTTGCAGTCACATTCCCATGTGCTTAAGTGATGGTGTTTTGGGCTTTTTTAATCATTGTCAGACAGCTCTGCTTGTTTCAGAATCCTGCCTTTAAAGCAAAAATGAAGTATCTGTCATTTTCAAGACATTTTATTTAAACTGTGGGCTAGGGTTATTGGGATTTTTTAAAATCAGAAATTAAATCAGATAAAGTTCATTTTCTCTGTTAAACATAATTGATTTTGTGTGCAACCACTTTTAACAATAATGGATGTTATGTGTCCAGACTTCAATGCATATGTAGCCCCAAGGGTCTAAATTAAACCCACAAAAGCTGCAAAGTTCAAATTTTACCTGGATCTATACCATGCATCCTCAGTTAACAAGGCACGATGGGTATTCTGTTAGCTCCACTATGCTCTAATCATGTATCCTATTGTGCCTAAGTATTGGAAAGAGTACATTAAATCAGAATTTATTTTGGTGATAAAAGTCAGATGCTTTCCGTTTCTTTGATGTAATTTCTGTGATTTAGAAATAATACAGAGGAATGAAGGATGTCTGAATCAATATGAACACAATGTGAGAAAGCATTCTGAAAGCTGTATGTTCCTCTGGAAAAGAAGAAACACATTTCTAGACTCTTCCTTGAGATTTGTTGTGGTGATGACATCAGTGGAAATTGTTGATCTCTAATTAATATTTCTAGACAAAAGAGTTTGTCTAGACGTAGGTCTGTAAATAACTGGTCATAACTTGAGAGAGAAGAGGAGAAATAAAAAGGTTTCTAAAACTGGATCAAACTGGATTCAGTTATTTTTTAAAGTTAAATAGTTTTAATGTTATTTTTTAATGCATTGCATGGAAAAAGGAGGACCTCTCCCTACTAACTTTAACTCAGTATTTCTAAACCATTATTATCAGTGTACCTTTGCACAGGGAAGGCCTGTGTGCTTTGTGTTGTTTGCATACATTTTGATTGGAAATCCATAATTTTGTGCTACTGTGCTTGCTTATCTTGACTGTAGGTCCTGCAGACTTAGGAAATTTTCAGCATGTACTTTTCATGTGGTTTGTATAGAGGCTTTAAGTCAAGAATAGACATCTTAATGAAGCAATTAAGGTAAATTCTATACCTGCAGAAAAATGAGGATTTGTATGAGTGGCCAGACCTCTGCAAGATGGTAATAATAAAAAAGCCACCACAACAAACAAATTATTTGGCAAAAACAAAAGACATTATCATGAGTTGAGAGGAAAAGAAATAGGAAGAGTCCTGAGCTCTGGGAGAACCAGGGCCAGTGTCTCCCCAGTGCAGGTAGGACACCACTGATCAGCACCTTTGCTTTATCTTGCTTTGAGGAAGGGAGTGTCTGTGCATCCAGCTGAGCTCCTGCCAGGCTTTGTGCAGCCTCTGGCTGAGGAGCTGGGATAGCTCCTGGGAGCACAGCCACTCAGCCACAGCACAGCAAGGGCTGGGAGCAGCCAGCTGGCAACAAGGCAAGGCACAGCCTTGATATTCTCATGGCAGAAAACGTGGTGTTAAGGGAGGGCAAAAAAAAGCAATTTTTTTATCAGTGATAGTAGAAAAAGAATTTTTGCAGGCCCTACAAAAAGCCAACCACTGCGAGGTATGAAAGGTTAACCTTGGGGTAACCTCAGTGTTTCCAGGGCCTGATATGAAAGGTGTCATCCTGGGCTGGGACTTTCAGAGATTTTGTGATGATGTAAGATGAAAGGCTTAATTTTCATCTTGTGCCATGTTACATCAGTGAAAAAGTTACAATGGTGTTACAGCCCTGAAGAGAAATCATGAGCAACACAAAACATTTGTCACATTTTCTTGTGATGAATTAGAGGGCAGGTGTTGGTGAGGATGCTGCAAGGACAGTACTTAGGCATTCCTTGCATCCACAGAGAAGCAACTGTCAGTGTTTGTAGGTAATCTAAAAAGCAAGATTAGGAAAAACTTGTTATGAGGATGTGTGAGGAGGGGAGGAGGCTGCCTGGGCATGCTGCACCATCCATCACTGAAGGTTTCTAAGGACAAGCCAGACAAAACTGAATTCATCCTGTAAAGTTGCACTTCACAGGCACTGCAGCCTCTTCTGCTCAGCACCTTTCTGACCGCGTTACCCCACTGCTCCAGAGGGGTCAGAAACAGAAGAGTCTTTTCAAAGACATACAGTTAGAAATATAGAATATGTTAAATAATGCAGATACACATTTTCATCCTTTATTAATGAGAAAGATGCACCACATTAAGAAATAAAGCTGTTTCATACATTTCAGTAGAGAAAAACAGAGAATATGAGTTGAGGCTGTTTACAGTGCCCTACTTTTGTATTTTCCATCTGATTCTTGCTGTTTCTTGAAGTAAAATAAGTAAAATCACTGTGTAGGAAAGAGACGTGAATGAATATGGATATTTTATTATCTTTGTCTACTTCAAAACTATAATTTCTGGGCAAGATTGGAGTATTGTAGGGATTGCAAGATTTCTGCTTCCAGCAAAGGCAGGAATAGCAATATTTTCCCAGACCACATCACTGGTTTTGAAGGGATGAGGAAGACGAATGAAGTGTGTGTGCATTCATGGGCAACAGCCCCCAGTCATCAGAGCCCTCTGTATGGAGAAGCAGAGCTCATGCCCGAAAAGAACTCTTATGTTTTACTTTTTCTTCCTTTCTAAATTTTTGTCAAGATAAAAATTATTTCGGCTCTTTGCATGTCATAGGGTATAGGTGTAGACCTCCATGTTTCTTACCATTCCTTGCTCACCTTTTGCTGAATATTCTATTCCCATGACTTGTGGCTGATTTTTCCTTGCTTACTGCCTCAGATAATGAGGTTGAAAGACTGGAAATTGTAGCCTTGCCCACAGGTATCTGCCAACATATTAGCACTTGACATCTGCAATGGTCTTGAACTAGGTTTGGTCAGTTCATGCCCAGAAAGAAATAACTGTTGATAAAGCACCTATTTTGACTATACTGGATAATGATTACATGATTTTGGACTAGTTTGGTTTTGTACACAGCCAGTGTTAACAGGCTGATTAACACTCTGGAGACTCAGCATTAAAGTTTAATTTTAGATGTGGATGGTAAAGAGACTGTGGCAGTAGAAAGGTCTTAAATCTCAGGAAAGCAGCTTAATGGAGATTTAAAAGCCAGGTTCATGAGGTGTAACAGGAGAAAATATTCATGTGGGTCAGCATAGAAAGGGCAGCAGGTCACAAATCCACTATGAGATCCACCTCCATCTCATAGTGGTGGTGCAAGAATCTCTGCTTCCTCCCTCCAGTACAAACCTGCAGGAGAAATAATGCATTGTTTCCAAAGGCACTGTGTGAATGTGTGCATTGATGAAATCATATTGGGTGCAGTGAAGTCTGCAACAAACCAAAGTAGAATATAGTAATGTATTGAACCTGAGGAATATTTTGGAGAAAGAGAATGGTGTTCAGCAATAAAAACCAAAATGGATTAATGAAGTTGAATGGTTAGGAAGAACAAGGAAATAATTTACAGGTAGGATGAAGGAGTGAGGGGAAAACTAGCAGGAAAGTAGGACTCTTGCCAAATACTGAGAGCTGTAAATTGGAGAGTTGAGGCAATTAACTGGAGAAGGTAATTTAGAAGATACATGTTCAGTGACAGAGGGAAATC